AAAAAAACTATAAATCATCCCATCCTCTGCTTCTCTATTTTGTGTTACGAATATTACTCATCACTTTGGATAATTCGCACATGCATCGAAATTATGAATCTCCTAGTCTATTGAAAGACAAAACAGCAAGTGATACGGGTAACTTTATAGATTTATTAAGAGCTTATTTAGTTGTTTGCAGGGCATTGCACGTTTACTTGTATGAAATTAAACATAATATCGATAGTGAAAATAAATTAGGCAAAAACCTTATTTAATCCCGTATCATCCCAAGTGTTCATGCAACCTCATTGCTGCATCCTTCATTACTAAATAGTTCTATTTATTATTGCTGCCTTAATCTGAGTCCTCTACCTACTTCGTTGGTAGCTATATAGGTAATTTTGCATTTGATAGCTGAATCAAATAGTCCTATTTTCTACACTTTTATGGCATTTTCAGCAATTTAGAATCGCCCCTTTGGAATCATTGGGATATAATATAGTCTTTCTTGATTGAGTTTAATTGACGCTATGCTATATTCGTTGCTTGCAAGAGATGATTAGGTCAACGTACGGGTGCTAGCTATAGTAAACATTAAAAGAATTAAAACATTTGAAGACACAGGAGGTAGTCATTTCAGCAGAAAAGGTGAATAAATTAAAAAGCCATCGAAATAGAAGAAGTGGATAGCTAACTGAATTTGTGAATGCAGTTAAAAGAATAGAATAGAAATAGGAGAAATGCAACGCTTTTACATTTGTAGAAATTTAATTTAATTTACTGATTCAATGTTTGAACTGCTCTCGCCAAAGAAAATTGATTTAGGTTATGTCATACTCAGCTTCGATAGAAATAAGGACTAAGTTTTTATTACAGTTCTGGTAAATTCTTTCTTAGGTTGGCACCTCAAGTTCAAAATTAAGTTAAACTTATATAATTAAAGCATGCAAATTGTTTGTTGAGACTATAAGCAAATCAGATATATGATATGTGTTCACCCTAGGAGGTGATTAAGAACTGATAGTTGAATTTTCCCATAATGAACACATCTCATATATCTGGCTTACAGGTAGTCTCGAAAGCTTACTTGCAGGCGAAAAATTTGCTATATCAAATATTACTTTGCTTCTACAACGATCAAATCACAGAATGTGATAGGGGAAAATATCTTGCCTTGTTGAAATTCACATCTACCTTCTGGCCCAAGGACAATCGTAGCAATGTGGCGTAGTGTTTAACGTGTCGAGATTACACACTGTATTGTTCTGGTTCGAGTCCTGCCTGGAGGTACTGATAAGACCTGGGCGAGATTAAAGCTGCATTCCACCCTGGGTGAGAATACCCTTTTGGAAGCAAGGCTATGTGAACTAGAATGGAAACGTAGGACCTACTCATATGATTGTGGGAAAATTGAACTGTAGTCCTTCATTACCATACACGAAATAGGGTAAACGTATTTCATATAATTAAAGTAGTCGGTTGGACGTTTAAGAAAATATTATTAAGTAAAATCTTCTTTTCACTTTTTTAAAATTTCATGTAATAACTTGTTACATGTAAATAAGTGCATATCCCAATATGATGCAACTCGACGGCAAGCAAGGATACATTCGGTAATTTAATTGATTTATTGATAGCTTTGAAGGCATAACCTTCGCTGTCCATCACCCGTAATGCTTTTATTAGTCAGAGAAATTGAGTGATTGTTCAAAATTCGTCTCCACCACAAGTTTTTATATGATAATTGTGGGACAGCTCAAACAAGGCTGTCATTTAGTTTAGTCCTTGTCTCTAGGCTACGTGCAACTAGTCCTCTAAAATGCATATTAAAATTTCGACCTGGCCTTTAGCTTACTAAAAATATAAATAGCTGTGCATTTCGTAATCAGATTTTCTCGGGTATTTTATGCATGAAATAGGTAAATAATAAAAAATAAAATAATAATAATAATGCTAAAAATACTACTACAACTTCACATTCATCTGGTTATCTGTTGCAGGCCACCTCGTCAAATAAGATATGTCAAAAAAGGCATCAAACCAGCGCACCAATCATTATCAACACTTCAGGAAGAACGACACCGAGTTCAGCTATTCGACTAGACGCCAATCTTGACATCAGTTTGGCACCGGCTGAACCCAAACACTTTCCAGCCTCAGCCATGATTGCCTCGAGAACGAAGGGTTTGGGTTGTGTTGGCGGCGGAGGTAAGCAGGGGCAAATTGTGAAAGGTAATCTTCACGTGTCAGCTGGAATAGTTACTATGCCGGCGACATGCAATCACCGACGCTATCGTGAGATGAATTCAGCTTTGCGGAGAACTCAGAGCTTTCCTTCATCAAGCAGGCCATTTCGCCTGTATCCACTCCCGAAATACAATTCTGCGAATGCAGTCTGTGCGAGATGTCTAACAATGAGGGGCAAATCAAAGGTGCTGGACTCAAACTGGGTGAGAGAAGTGATAGTGTATGCTCCAGAAGGCAATCTTCTATCCAATGGTCCTGCTTGATCGATGTAGTGACCCTCCAAAAGGTCTTCCCTAAATGGCGACCTGCTAATTTGTGAATGGGCTAGCAGGAGAGCATGTAGCTAAGACATAATTGATAACCCTTTTTATTACTTATATTCAGGAGGATTCTTGCTGATTTTCCTTGCACATAAAGGAATAATTCTGGATCCAGATTCGTTTTTATGATAAAGTTTCATGAAAGAGACGGGTCAGGCGACTTATCAAGGCTACTTTGATCAAATCGTTTTGCCTAACTTTGATATATGCCTTTCATCAAAGAAGCTGATATTTCAATTGCCAGAGGGGCACTCTGATACGAGCAAGCTTACTTTCTTATATTTCCCCTACATGTATACCAACCATGAAAGGTAATGCATTTCAAAATCCCAAATTCAATTCCTGTTCTTAATTGTCTGACGAGTCAATACAAATATGAGTATAAGCATAGAAAAATAAAAACGGCAATATCAAGTCTACTAAGAAAGAAATAGGGACAATGCAATATGAATACTTTAGGGGTAGGTGAGATTATATCAAAACACACAGTTAATATAAACAGAAAACGGAAAGCATAAAGCATTAATATGTAAAGAAGGTGAGTAAAAGGGTATCATCGAGACGAGCTGGCAAACTGTTATAGACATATAGAATTTTTAATAAGTTTATTAAGTTTAATTTGTCCTACCAAGCGGATTTAGTGCAAATAGGCTTTAAGACGGATGGGCTCGCCTATTTTGACGATAAAAGTTGCGACTGAAAAGTTAGTTTTAATGGTGAAAGCTAAGAAGGCATGGAGGTTAGCATACATTCTTTTCTTCTAGGCAAAATGACTGGATAAAACGCAGAGTTTCTCTGTATGGTAGATGGAGATGAGTGAATAATAAACTATCCCATTTTAGTGTTGGTTTGACCTCGTTTTGGCAACTTGGTCGGATCGACAGAAGCCTTGTAAAACGTATTTGGTCCTGCGTCTTCTGCTCTTGAGTAATCATGATGATTTCCTGCATCAGACAGATGACTTAGCGCATACCAAATTGACAGGTAAGGGAATTTTTTTTGACCAATTGAAGTGAATAGAAAATTGGTCAGAAGGATCGTCTTCGTTTGTCACTTTGATCAGTTTTAAATAAGATTATGCTAAGGAAAGCGTCTCTCACCGACGATGTCGTCAAAACGTCTGGGAATGTACCAAGTCAACTGTCTAATGCAGGAAATTATCATGATTACTCAAGAGCAGAGGACGCAGGACCAAATACGTTCCACAAGGCCTCTGTCGCTCCGACCAAGTTGCCAAAACGAGGTCAAACCAGCACTAAAATGGAATAGTTTATTATCTACTCAAAGGTTTATGAACCAAGTTGTACCTCTGAAGGCTTTCTTACCTCCATCTAGCATACAGAGAAATTATGTGTGTTATGCAGTCGTTTTTGCCTAGAAGGAAAAGGAGACCATACCATCTTGATCCTCATATCTACTTATCCCTTTTGATCGGAAATTTTTCTGCGAAAAGAACTAAAAACTGATGTGGAGTCAGATCCACGCCCAACAAGTGATGGATATTTGGGACTAGGTAACAGCCCGAGGAGAAATTCCTCTCAAATACGACCTATTTAATGCAGAACATTACTTCCTGTACTTTGAAATATTAAATGGGATGCGGAATATAATCTGACCTTATTATTTATCACATATAGCAAGTAAAATGGGAAATTCAGATGCATTCCGCTATTAGAGTGGGCTCCATCCTTGAAAATATAATTCTTACTCTTTTGTCACACGACCAGTCAGTCTTGAAGTTGTCTTCAAAATAAATAATTGATCGCACAAGGTACTTTAATTTCTTAATTAGTAAAACTTATTTGAATGTAGTTAAAAGCATTATTGCAAGTCAAGCTTCTTTAAACACTGGCTTTTCAGCGTCCAGAAAACTGTGCATATGATTAATAGTGTAAGTAGTTACGTTGTTCTCTTGTGACCATTATGCTCAGTCTGTATTGAGTTTGTTTAACCTCATTTTCGCAAATGAATGGTGTTCTCACTGAAAACGCGAAAAACATACCCCGTAAAGAACTGTGTTTCATTGTTCTTACAGCATCAGACTGTTTAGTGGATACATTGCCAGATATTTCACCAGATTCGTAGTCAGCATTCTCAATGAATAAAACTAGCGTAGGCATCAATTTGCAACTCGTCAAAAGTGGCAAGACTTTGGGAAAAAGACTTTTTATATGAATAAGTTGCCAAAACGAGGTCAAACCAAATCTACACAGCGAAAGGATAGTGCGATGAGACCAAAGGCCGTCATTACTCAGTATGCCCTGTCTTTTTCTTATTCTCGATTAACAGTATTCATAGTTCGGCCTCGACAACTCTTTCAATAATTTTGCATCCAGTGACAGTGATAGTGAACACAATATTTATTAAATTATTTTTTGCGGATAAATTAGTCTCTATTTTACCTCATAGCAAAGAAATTTCCTAGATAGCTAATAGAAATGAATTTTCATATACAATCATCCTATAATTTGATTCAATGAGTGTAAAGACAAATTGCAAGTTTACTGCTTGTTGCATTAATGTTATTTGATTTTTGTTTTCTTTAGAATAACTCCTGGTCACCATAGTTGTTCTTTTTTGAGTTACAGTTATCTTGTTCTCGAATATTAAATACTTAAAATTCTTCACAATAAATGTAATTGATAATAATAATATGTATATTTTAAAGAGAATTTAATAGGAAATTCAGGATGGCATATTTATCATGTTATCTGTATATTAATTCCAATCGCTCCTTGAGAAGCAAAATTGTGGCAAAAAATAAATTCGATTTTTAGTGAAAACAGCCAACATCATAATTTCTTCATTTTATTATTTGCAACAGAACTTAAATCGCTTGAAAAGTACTACTGGCGAAGGCAGTACTTTTGGGACCGATCAGGGGCACAATAATGGTACCACTATGAAGGATCGGTTAAACAGCCTATTCTTATTTGATCAGCCATTAGACTGTCATCAAGCAATTCTGAACTCAAAAACAGCAGACAGGCCAGCATATCCAGCTCTGAACGGACGGCCGCCTAATCTCACCAGAGCAGCAGATCAAAATGAAGCCCAAAAGAATGGATCTCGAGAGGCCAGGAAACGCTCTAAACAAGCAGCAGAGTCAGGAGAGGAGTTTGAGGAAAAAAAGACAGTAGGAAGTCCTGGGCGAATAGGCTCTCCAGTTGTTGGCAAATCTTGGAGCAGGGTTCGCATTAAACATAGTGGGAGCAGGCCCAGTTCTCCAAATGTAGATATAACCCTGGGTGCGGATAACTGGTATCCTGACTCAGATTTACTCGAAACAGAGGTTGAGGTCAAAGTAAGTTCCAGTTTTTTATCCCAGGGGTTGTGACATGGTGAATTACATAATAATTCAATCAATAATTTTTAATAAAAAAAAGCTTGCATAATTGTGTATGATCGAATAATGTGTCTGATGATAATAAATGAATGTAATTATTTAATCCTTGAAATCAAACTAGAGCTTCGCTGGAAGGACAGGCATTAAAATTTTTAAGCTAATGAAGGTAATACCTATTGTGGATAATCAAGACCTATGGCCCTGTTTTGATATTTGGAAGTAAAGTTGTGGGTGCTGATGTCCTAGTAAACAAAGGTTGAGCTTTCCTTGACCCAAAAGTGGTTACTTACCAAAATAGAAGAATTATAAATGGAGCATATAAAGTGAGTTGACCTCGTTTTCGCAACTTGGTCTTGTTTTCAGGGCGACTTAGTAGAACACACCTCGTTCGAATTCCTCTGCCATAATATTTATCATAATTCCCAGAATTAGATCGTGGACTTAATATATTCTCAGATGTTACCCCGACATTGTAGTCAGCATCATCAGTGAGTCTTGCCATTATGATGCTGTGAATTATTATAACTACTATGGCAAAGGACTTCCTACAAGGTACGTTCTACTAAGTCACTCTGACAACTAGACTGAGTTGCGACGATGAGGTCAACCCACTTCTATACATCGAAAGGAGACTGCGACCATACTGAGGGTCACACCATTTTGGTCTTCATATCTTCGAGAAATAACAACACTATAGAATAAGATTCTGGTCGATAAATTAAGGTATCAAATGAAAATATCTGTTTCAGTTTTACAGCTAGCCTTGCATGCGAGCAGTTAAGTGAAGGAATAGACTAAGTTCACAAGTATATGCTCACAGATCGGCATCTACTTAACGATACTACTGATCGGCCTAAGCCTACTGACTTACAGACTAATTGTTATAATGATGGCTTCCATATGACAAACGAAATTTAGGCAAATTCTTACTGAGATCGAATAAGAAAGAAAGGAGGACCACTTCAACCTAACCTTTTCATTATTCACATCCTTCATTTCACAGTAAAACAACTTTTCTTAGTGCGTTTCATAATTACGCCACATCACCGCACTTTCCACAACTCAACTTCACCTACTCTTAGCCATTTCGGCCGCGTCTTTTTCTAATTTATCACCTTCATACATTCAGACTACTTTATGTTTCATCAACCAGTAAGCCCGAAAAGCTTTGACCACCCTTCCTTAGCTCATGCATCTCTAACTCATGTCGTCATACACAAAATATATCGATAATTTTCCAAGTACCTATTTTGATTACTATTCGTTATTTGGTTTTCTAAAGCTATTGGGGCAGTTAACGAAACTGGAAATTAGTTTACTCTTTATATATATATATATATATATATTCTATGTATTACAAAATCTCTACGATTGTAATATTTCAAATATATTCTGCCAGGGTTTAGTATGACATAAAACAAATATAATCAAATATAATTAATATTGCAGCCTTGTTTAAAACATTGAAATGCTTAATGTGGCCTATCGTGCTCTATTTCGCCTCCAAATGACTATCAGAATACAACACTTATATT